CCCATATCAGCCAAAACTGGAAGAAATGCAAACAAATCAGCCAGAACTGGCTCCAGATCAGCCAGAACTGGCTCCAGATCAGACAGAACTGGCCCCAGATCAGCTAGAACTGGCCCCATATCAGCCAAAACTGGAAGAAATGCAAACAAATCAGCCAGAACTGGCTCCAGATCAGCCAGAACTGGCTCCAGATCAGACAGAACTGGCCCCAGATCAGCTAGAACTGGCCCCATATCAGCCAAAACTGGAAGAAATGCAAACAAATCAGCCAGAACTGGCTCCAGATCAGCCAGAACTGGCTCCAGATCAGACAGAACTGGCCCCAGATCAGCTAGAACTGGCCCCATATCAGCCAAAACTGGAAGAAATGCAAACAAATCAGCCAGAACTGGCTCCAGATCAGCCAGAACTGGCTCCAGATCAGACAGAACTGGCCCCAGATCAGCTAGAACTGGCCCCATATCAGCCAAAACTGGAAGAAATGCAAACAAATCAGCCAGAACTGGCTCCAGATCAGCCAGAACTGGCTCCAGATCAGACAGAACTGGCCCCAGATCAGCTAGAACTGGCCCCATATCAGCCAAAACTGGAAGAAATGCAAACAAATCAGCCAGAACTGGCTCCAGATCAGCCAGAACTGGCTCCAGATCAGACAGAACTGGCCCCAGATCAGCTAGAACTGGCCCCATATCAGCCAAAACTGGAAGAAATGCAAACAAATCAGCCAGAACTGGCTCCAGATCAGCCAGAACTGGCTCCAGATCAGACAGAACTGGCCCCAGATCAGCTAGAACTGGCCCCATATCAGCCAAAACTGGAAGAAATGCAAACAAATCAGCCAGAACTGGCTCCAGATCAGCCAGAACTGGCTCCAGATCAGACAGAACTGGCCCCAGATCAGCTAGAACTGGCCCCATATCAGCCAAAACTGGAAGAAATGCAAACAAATCAGCCAGAACTGGCTCCAGATCAGCCAGAACTGGCTCCAGATCAGACAGAACTGGCCCCAGATCAGCTAGAACTGGCCCCATATCAGCCAAAACTGGAAGAAATGCAAACAAATCAGCCAGAACTGGCTCCAGATCAGCCAGAACTGGCTCCAGATCAGACAGAACTGGCCCCAGATCAGCTAGAACTGGCCCCATATCAGCCAAAACTGGAAGAAATGCAAACAAATCAGCCAGAACTGGCTCCAGATCAGCCAGAACTGGCTCCAGATCAGACAGAACTGGCCCCAGATCAGCTAGAACTGGCCCCATATCAGCCAAAACTGGAAGAAATGCAAACAAATCAGCCAGAACTGGCTCCAGATCAGCCAGAACTGGCTCCAGATCAGACAGAACTGGCCCCAGATCAGCTAGAACTGGCCCCATATCAGCCAAAACTGGAAGAAATCTTGCACGTTGGCTGAAGCCCCCAGTCGTCTTGCAAGATATTGTTTTGCTTAAGAATGGATATCTAAGACACAAGCAAAGGGAGCATGTGAGTAATCTATATTATGTTTGTTCTACAAAGTAGATAGCCAACGAAAGGAAAAAG